CTTTTTGAAAAGGAGTCCATTTAAAGTTAACTCATAGATCATTTACTCAAAGAAAAATTGTCTACTATGAAATGGTAAGGATATTATTATTATCGGAAGAGAAAGATTCCATGGTCCTTAATATAAGACGTTTTGATTTTGTCATAGGTTTGACCTAGTATGCATTTTATCAACAAAAAAATCTTGAAAATATTTTTTCGCATTCGTTGTGTTCTCTTGATTGTTATAAAATATTTTTTAGATTTTTTCGTCAATTAAAAATACGTATTAAGTGAAACCTATGACAAATCAAAATATCTTATATTAAGAACCGGAGAAAGTATTTTTTCATTTTCCCTTTAGTCCTAATTATAAAACGCAAATACTTATTTTGTGTCATATAACTATGACCTGAGGGAGCAGTAAATTAAGCTCATTTAATTAGCTCATAAGACCAATCAAAAGTCCAAAATTGTTTAATTTTTCTAATCACAAAATATCATCATCGTCAATAACATTATTATTCTTCTCCTTATTATGATAACATTAGTATTTTTTTTAATTGAAAAGCAAGAAGATAATGTGCGATCGTTCGCTGTTCGTCGAGAAACAAGATATTACAGGTGTGTCTACTTCAAAAGCTTCATATATGACAGGATACTTATCTTCAAATAAGATCAGAAGGAGATCTATCTCAATTGGGTTTTCCGAGAAAAGAGAATAAGAAAAAAAAGATAGAAACAATATCCAAGTTGGTGTGTGTTTGAAGCAGCAAATGAATTGTAAAGAGTGGCTTGACAGAATCGGGTGATGTTTTTGTTGCTGTTGCATTAATATTCCAAGCTTGGGATCTGCAATATTATCTCCTAGATGATTAATTAAGTTAATTAATTTCGATCATTTTTATGTTAGTTTTATTTTTTTAGCCTTTACATTTTTTATTTTCGGTGTAGAGTCAATTGGCACAATAATTCAACTATTCAAGTAATGAATTACGTAAAAGATATATGGTGATAAAACTAAAAAGAAAAAAAGAAAAGAAAAGAAAATGACGAAATATGGATCTGCACGGTACCTTAAGACGGGCGGCGATAATGATTTAGGCGGCGGACGGCCTAAAACCTACAAGACAGAGTCTCAGGTGTCTTCCGAAGGTAGACTCTCCGATACTTAAGTCAATAAGGGAATAAAGAGAATAGAGAGAGAAGAATGTGTATCGTGTGTAGAAGGTGTAAAAGATAGGTAGAAGATATCAATTATGGGAGAGACACCACCTCTTTATATAGAGGTGGTGTTACCTGTTTCTGTAAACCTAGTCAGAATAGGTTTCGGCGTTGACTTAGCCTTTAAGTTATCTAACCCTAGGCCCAATAGGCCCAATAGGGCCTATTGGGCCTAGGGTTTAATTCTGTCTCGTCAAATGCCCTAGCAAGCCATATTCTTGAGACTCGATAAGAAAAATATGGGTTACTATAACTGTTGATCTCTTCTCGGGTCTCGTAGTGTTGCTCTAGTTCTCGAACTCTTTTGTTCTCAGGTGTCACCTATATAAGATAAAGAGAGATAAAATGCCTTGAGGAGGTCTTTGTGTTAGAGAGTTCCTTGGTTGCGCGGTGGACCGCGAATATCCTTGTTTGTGCGGTGGACCGCGAGTATCTTTGTTTGCGCGGTGGACCGCGAATATCCTTGTTTGCGCGATGGACTGTGAGTGTTTAGATCATTGAGATGCAATACAAGATAATAATGACATGTATTAATAAGATGCTCCTAAGGAATATCCGTTCAAGCAGAGGATGTTACGATGATCTCTCAAGTTCGTTGCCCCTAAGGTTTTTTCCAGTTTGTGTCCCGAGTACGTTTTCCTCGTTGAAGGCAACCCCGAGGTGATTTTCCTCATTGCAGGGTGATGGGAATTTTCCCTAGAGGTTTGGTTCCTCGAAAGATTCCTTTAATCGTGCTAAAAAAGATATCGTGATATGATAGTAATATGATGATGATATCAGATATTAAAGCATGAAAGGTTTTACAAGTACCTCGATCTCGTAATAAATTGATTATTCGAGAAAGTGCTACCTCGATTCCGAGAAGGTAGTAGTTGAGTAGATAAAAGTCGAGCTACATCTTCTCGAACACTTTGAACATTAGTATGGTGCTCGAGGGATGGTTGCCCCTTCGAGGAAATGTATCTCTCGAAACTCCAATCTTCGAAATTGCCCCTTGCTAATCTGCAAAATTTTAAAATATTTAGGGACCAAATAATTAAAATTATTAGGGATTAAGTGGCAATTCTCAAATTGAGGAATTGTTCTCAGCTGAATATTCTACCCCTTTTGACGGATTTTGAACTCCTTGGACTGTTCTTCTCGATCAGTTGTGGAGCAAGTGCGGCTCCTCGAATTCTTTGTGCAACCGAAAACTTCTTTGGGCTACTTGTCGACTGACGTCTTCTTGGCTAAAGAAAGATAATTTTTTGCATGATCTTCTAGTTGCAAAATTGGAGTAACGAATTAACATCGTGGCTGTCAAAGATACAAAAGATTCCGTGCTTTGCTAAAAATTTTATTGAGTTGTGAAGACCAAACAAATCAGTCCCACTAGGCGTGCCACTTGACGAAGCAATGATGATCTAGGCGGCGGCGAACGGCCTGAAACCTACAAGACAGAGCCTCGGGTGTTTCCCGAGGGTAGACTCTCCGATGCTTAAGTCAATAAGGGAATAAAGAGTATAGAGAGAGAAGGATGTGTATCGTGTGTAAAAGGTGTTGAAAATAGGTAGAAGGTATCAATTATGGGAGAGACACCACCTCCTTATATAGAGGTGGTGTTACATGTTTCTGTAAACCTAGTCGAAATAAATTTAGGCGGTGACTTAACCTTTAAATTATCTAATTAGGCCTAGGTTTAATTCTGACTCGTCAGAAAATAATAAAAGGAACTAATTTTTGTGTTCCTAATTAACTCTGAATTAACTTTCGAAATGAAACTTCCTAGCAAACTTTGTTATTCTCGTGTGAGACTAACTCAAAATCCAAACTTCAAACCTTTTTTGACAAATTTCGACGTTTCTTTTTTAAGACCATGATTGATAAGACCCGACAAATAATGTAAATTAAATAATAATGTGAGTTACTTATCTAAATTGGAAATATTGAACAGTCAAATGTTCCATGCATAATCTTCACATGCATGCTTATTTGTATTCTTCCTGCACTTTTAGGCTGGCAAAAAGGGCCAGACATCGAGGGATCAAAATATCTTGGGAAATATTAAGACAAAATAAATTATATGGATCAAAATATCTTGCTAGAGTAGTATTCCCTCTATTCCAAAATAGTTGTCGTTGGATAAATTATATAAAATTTAAAAAGACCATAAATACTTTGTTAAATACTAATTAATATACCCCCATTTACTTTCAATGGAATTCTATTTCCAATATTATTTAGTTTTAATATACTTTTACTTTAAACACAATTACAAGTTCCTATTTAGGGACAACATTAGAAGAAATTGGTAGAGCATGCCTCCAAATGCAAAAATGATATATATTTTGACAAAAATGAATTTTCCTCGGACGACATCTATTTTGGAATAAAAAAAGTATATAATTATTATTTAATCAATTAGGAAACTGATTGAGAACATAAAACGTGTTGGCAAGCAAATTGATCTTGTGCCATTTCTAGAGGGTGGCAAAGAGTTAGTAATTGATTAGAATCTTGAAGAAGATTGTAAATTAAGATCAAGAAGATCCATTATTTGTACTTTAATTTGGATATAGTTGTCAGTAGTTAAGTCAAGATAAAACTATCTTGTTGGCAATCAGCGAAAAGCTCACGAACCAAATATTCAGTATTATTATTAGGTTTGAGATATTTTGGGAGATATATTGTTGGGCGTAGATCAGTTGTTAACAGTAAACAAAATCTTATGCCAGCCATCATACGAGTTTATATAACCTCTCTCTAGTGGCTTATGATAATCTCTTCGTCGCCAGACATAGTTAATAAGGTATTTCATTTTGAAACAGAAAAAGTATTTACTTTCTCAAAATTTCAACATCACTCTCAGCTAACCCTTGTTAATAAAGTATGTTAAATGTTCATAATTTTTTTTTTTATAAAAAAATTTGATTCATTAATTTCATGAATGAATTCATTTCTCCTTTAATCTTTTCGAAGGAAATTTTTTGCTCAAGTAAACTAATCTTCTATATTCTTGAAGAGAAAATGATTTCCTGATAGAGGCCCTGTGAGGAAGTAACATTTAATTCACATAAGATAAAGTTTAGATTAATAAGAAAATTTTTTAAAAAATTCTGCGCGACATGATATCATTGGATATCTTAACAAATAATACTCATTTTAATGTAATTCAAATTAACATACTTTCCAAAGTTCCAACTTTAAATCCTTAAATTGCAACTAAATTGAATCTAACATTTTGTCAGGAAAACGAGCACTAAAGTCTACTCCATTCATACTAAATAATTCATTCATATATAAGTTGTGCTAAAAACAATACAATCGATAAGTTATATTATGAATTATTTTTAAGGACAATAGAAGTATACTTTTTCCCCTTCAAAAAGAGTCTAAAATAATCAATTGTATTCTTATATTTTTCTAACCAGTTAATCTTTCAACTGATTAATGAAATTAAGTTACAGACTTACAGGCAGCACCTTGTTAGTATAATTGTTGCTAGCATGCTTATACAATAATCTATAAACTAAATAAATTAAACGTCTCTTAAAACATTTAAATATTTTTTTGGCGGATTGCAATTTTGCTATCGTCAATAAATTTAATACTCTCTCTGTCCCAAAATGATAAGAATAATAATAATTTAGGGAGTATAGAATATTCTTCTAAAAAAATAAAAATAAATTACGAGCCGCGTATTTTCAACTGGAATGTTTCGGGCCGAAATTGGTTTTTGTGAAACCAATCAATTTGTTGGGCCTAATGGAAACTATTGGGCTACTTCCAATTGATTCTCAGTCGTCCCGGGAAACACAATAGAGAAACAAACTCTCAAAACTATCAGAACTTAAAAACAGTAATGGAGGTTTAACAGCAGAGCAAATCGCCGTTAGGCCGATGCAGGGTTTAAGCCAAGGCTTTCTTCCTGTGTTTGAATATTAGGAATAGAGACAAGAGAGAAAATGGGGTTTGTGAGAGATGCAATAGTGAAGAAGGGGAAGGGAATATTGCTGGGCGAAATGGCATTCGCCAAAGGAGGAGGAAACATCAATTGGTTCCCCGGCCACATGGCCGCCGCTACTAAAGCCATCCGCAGCCGCCTTAAAGTTTCCGACCTGGTCATCGAAGTCCGAGATGCCCGTGTAACTGTCCCTTTACTTTGCTTCTATTTATGTAATTGGGGAATTTTTATTTTTTCTTTTTTGGGGTGTATTTTTTCATATGTTTATTTTTTATTGATATTCTGGTTTTCTGCACATTGATTTTAGATACCAATAACTTCAGCAAATCAAGAGTTGCAGCCTATGCTTGCGGGGAAAAGAAGGATTATTGCGCTTAACAAGAAAGATTTGTCAAACCCCAACCTAATGCCAGTGCGTTTCTTCTCTTTTCCTCGACGATTATGTTTTTTTTTTTCTTTTTTTTTTTCTCCTTATCTTAATATATAAACCTTAATGAGCTGAATTAGAGTTCAAGTTAACCTGAACTGCGAAGAAATAAAGATGCAAGTTTTATTTTGGATGCCTTTCATTAGACCAATGTAGCGCTCATTTATTTGTTTGTTTGTTTGTTTTTTCCAGCCATTTTTTTGTAAAGTATTTAGAACTGAAGGTGTAGGAGTGTCTTAATTGTTACTGTAATTTTCATTTCAAATGAAAGAAGACAAAGAGTAAGTTTACATTCGCAGATCAGCCTTTTTGTAGCTTCCCTTCTTTGTTGTATTCAGAGGAAAGATCAAATTGTACTCTTACTTTATCAACAATGTCTTGGTATTGAACACCTTGAACATCCTTTTGCGTGTACTTCTTCTGTTACGAATCGTAAAAATACCTAAAAATATGTATTTTAACTCAAGTTACACTGAAGGTCTTAACCAGGGATTGCCATTGTAATTAAGCCATATATTCTGTTTTAAAATCTCTTTAATTTTGTTGTTTTTGCTCATGGTTATCTCCAACAAAATGACGGAATAAATGAAACGGATCTATGATTACGTTTATCTTTGTTATTTTGGATTCGCCTAGTGATTGCACGTCTCATTTTATTGGTTTGGCTATTGAATGGATCATATTGCTGACAATTACTGGTATACTGTCATGCAGAAATGGATTCAATATTTTGAATCCTGTAAACAAGATTGCCTTCCATTGAATGCACATAGCCAAAGTAGCGTTCAAAAGGTTTGTATTTCGTTCGAAATATGCTTCTTGTCCTTATAATTTTCTTAAATCTTTTCTACGCATTGATATGCATATTTATGCCTGGTCAAAACAAATTCTGGTGCTACGATCATAGAGACACAGTTCCTTTTGTCTAAAGTACCATATCACTAACGTTAATTTTCAGCCATTCTAAGGAAAACAAGGATTATTTTTTTGGGGGGGAGGGGGGGGGGGTGGGGGATGCTGTAGATTACAGATTCATTTTTACTTTTACCATTTGCGGATGCATAGTGTTCTCAAACTCATTTTTAGCCCTGTTATTCTCTTTATATATGCAATAGATCTTGTTTACTCGTTTGACTTCATTATGTGTTACTAACCTGTAAATTCTTTTATGAAGCTTCTCGATCTTGTCGAGTTCAAACTGAAGGAGAAAATCTCACGGGAGCCTACTTTGCTTGTGATGGTTGTTGGTGTTCCCAATGTTGGAAAGTCAGCCTTAATCAATTCAGTCCATAGGATTGCTTCGTTCCGATTTCCAGGTGAGTTTTTTTATCAGTTCAGATTAAATTAATCCCCTTTATTTGATTGTTTCGTCCACTGGTATTTTTATCTTTCATATTGCATCTAGTGATGATGGTTTCATACTGAACTTAGTGCAGGGAAAGTTGAAGCGAGCTACAGTTGGTCCACTTCCTGGAGTCACTCAAGATATTGCAGGATACAAGGTAGAGGGAATGTTGATGAAGTATTCTCATTTGAAAGACAGTCTAGTTCTGTCCTCAATTGTTGCCTAGTTTGCATAATAAACGTGACAATGCTTTGAATATCTCATTATCATGTTATGCTACTAAGAGAGGTGCAAGGAGTGGTTGTCTGAGAAGATTATTTCCTGTTTGCTTCTTTAAGAGAACTCATGACTGAGTCTTCTCCTTTCCATATATGTGTGGAAACTTGTCTTTCTTTTTTAAATAGAAGATGTTATTTTATAGTTTTGTTTATATCTTCAAGGTTTAGGCTAAGTCAACTGTACTGTCACAAATGTAGAAAGTGTAGTTGATACTTTTTTTTTTTTTTTTTGGGTAAAGGTAGTTGATAGTTTATTAGTAATTCTCGTTTCAATTTAGCAGGAAATTATGCTTTTCAATTCCAAGCTTGCTAAACTCTTATCTCTTTATGATTATGTTCTGAAGTCAGTTTGAACTTCAAAGTACTGTTATATGTATTGAATGTTTCAATGATGTCTCACTTCCTTTTGGTACTAATATTATTTTACAGATTGCACAGCGACCTAGCATATATGTTTTGGATTCCCCTGGAGTATTGGTACCAAGTATTGCAGATGTAGAAACTGGATTGAAGCTAGCTCTTGCAGGTTTGTGCTCCCATTTCTATATAACTTCTCCTTATTGAATTTGAACTCTGAGTGGAAGCTTTGATTTCTTGGATCACGAGTTATAAAATCATCTATTTGGTTTCCTCATTTAACTTGATTGGAAATGTACATATCAATTAGTTCTCAGCAGGACCAAGTTATTCTACTTACATACAAGTCATGCTACCTGGCCAAGTACATTTGGCATTTTAGATTCCCTTTTTTCTGGTTAATGTAATTTGAAATTTCTTCGTGAATGAACTTCTGATAAAAATTGTGGGCCTGTCGCCTCTATCTCCTGGAAAATTTCTTCCAAAATCTTTTGTTCTTATTGAGTGTTTAAATGTGCTCATGCAGGTTCTGTGAAAGATTCTGTAGTTGGTGAAGAGCGAATAGCTGAATACTTGCTAGCAGTTCTAAATACTCGAGGCACTCCATTTCATTGGAAGAACCTGTTCAGCAGCGAATCTGAAGACCTTCAGCTTGATGAGAGCAGCAAACCTACATATGATCTCAAGAATCTTCTCTTGAAGAGAAGCAGCAAACAGAAGAAAAAATCTGATATGGTTTACATTGAGGTACTATCTGGTTAGTGATTTCTGAAGCTAACTTTTAGTCAGAACTGCACGTGTATGATGTTCTCAAGTAATGTTAATTTATTTATAGCACATTGACCTGATTGATAACTAGCAATTGTTCTTTTACCCTTATAACTTCTGGAAAGTTCAAATAGATGTAGGAAAGGTAATCACACTAACGTCATTCAATTGTTCCATCTATGTGTTCTCTTCAGGATTATGCTACTCGTGTCAAATGTGCATTGTACACCACACTGTCAGAATTTGATGGTTGCTTGGAGAGTGAAAATGACTTGGAGATCCTTATCGAAAAGCAATTTGAAATTCTTCAGACAGCACTAAAGGTACCTGAGACAGCATCCGACGCCCGGATTATGGTATCTAAGAAATTCCTTGCATTGTTTAGAACAGGAAAACTTGGTCCTGTCATCCTTGATGATGTTCCGGATATCTCTACTTCATCGGATCAAAAGGCACGCATGTCTCTTCCTGATACCTCCTAATCATTGTGTAAAAATTGTGTATTTTTCTTCTTTGTAAAGTTAAATGGTTTAGGCAGACACAACTAGTTCACTCTATCCTGTTAATGATCTGCATTTGATGTATATTGCCTTCTGGAAATAGCTGCAGAAAGTATTATATAAAAGGTTTTAGTGACCTTTTTCTCTTTGCTTTCTGTGACTTGTATGGTATGCTTTTAAAGTTGTATGGCATGGGAGCATTTTGTTCGATACATTATGGTATTCATGAATTTAGGAGGCACAATATTGTAAGACTTCACCTCCGGAAAGTGATTCATTCCTAGTCAAGTGTGGTGTTTGAGCTTTGTAGTCAGCATACGTGTTCTTCGGAAATGTATAGATCTGACCTCCTAGTTTTAGTAATGTGTATATAACCCCAGGTCCGGAAACAGTTCACCGAAATTAAGGGTAAAACTAACAGCGGGTAAACGTCCTACCTACATGACCTAAATCCTATTGCTGCTGCTTAACTTAAATTTAGATCCTTTTGCAGTACTTTTATCATCCGGGTTCCTTTCCATCTGTTGCTGCTCTCTTCCAGTCTCTTCTTATCCCTGCCTTTCGAAACACTTTTGAATGCGCTCATTGTATCAAATCCCAAAATTGATTTGCCCACAGAATTGTAGTCATTCTGAGCCGGAGAAGAAGAAATGGATAAATCGCTCAAACTTGCTAAATTCATCTCAACCATTTTTTCAGATATCTGAGATTAGGGATGTCCCATCTTTCCCCGCTAACTGCAAAATGGAGTAGCTTGAGAACCTCAAGATTCGTTAGTCTATTGCTCTTTGGAATTTTACTCGGGAAAGACTAAGGTTAGTTAGTTAGCTTTTTCCTTTTTATAGATTGTTTGGAAATTGAATCAGGCAATATGGAGATGCTTGAGTGATTCAAGTTGAGTCAACAAGTCTAATATGCCACATTCACAAAGACGTCAAACTCTGAAAGGAACTCTCACAGATTCTTCGTAAATCCAAATGTCGTTAAAGTTTGTACTCGAAAAACTTAGTGCAAGATATTTACCATGGCCATGTTTTTATTATTATTATTTTTTTTTAATAGAAGAAAAGCCCCTCTAATGAATTAAATCCCGAATCTAGCCTTCTCATTTACAGTTTTTTCTCTTTATATTTTGAAAAATTAATTTCATTAATATTTATTCAGTTATCTATTTTTACTTATTAAAAGTAACTGCCATTTAAGTCATGTGACAGTGACATAAAAATTGTTTTTCCGCCTAAAATTAGTAGCTAAAATATGGAAATAGAAACTTATTAAAAGACATAAACAATTCATCATAATCCATTTTTAGTCCATAAGTTCATGCTCTAAATCTGGAGCTGCAACACAATCCTCAGCCCTATTATGAATTTGGAATCCTTTGAACAAGTGAATCAACGTGATTATTTCACAACTTAGTTTCGAATTCAAATCCAAAAGAACTCTTAAAAACAAAGTTAAAAAATCTCCGATTAAAATTCAAATTGCCAATTCATGTTCATTACTTTACAAGTGTATTTACATTTGTTTTTCAAATATTATTTTATCATAACAAATATATTTTTTTTCTAAGTTACATAAAGCCTTATTTAATAGTGACCAGGCAATGCCCGGGCTGAGAATTTAGTAAGTGTTATGTATTCGTTTTTCTATCAATGGAATATAGATTCATGCATAAAAATGTATCGTTATTTAACTACAGAAAAAATGGTTCCAAAACGCAAAAGGAAAAAGAGAAACTTATCTTAGCTGGGCAAGTCAACTTTCAATATATGATTTGGAAGATGATGAAAATACTTTTTTTCAACGTATGACAAGTTGAAAGTTATAATTGTCGTCGGTTGAGATAATTTGATAGACTGTAACATCAACGAGAGATGATTTTTTTTAAAAAAATATTTTAAGATAATTTATAGTACTTTACAACAATTACGGACCGTGACATGGCGAGAAGGTGCGATTACCCCTCAAACGAATTTTTTCGTTAAGGACTTAAAAATTTAGTATAAGTTCAAGAAAATATAAATTTTCCCAACAAATACTTTTGTCCTGGCTTTGAAGAATTCCAACTCCTCCTATTCCGACTGCAATACAATGTATTTTTACTTATATGTAGGGCAGTTAATATATGGGGCACCTAGAGCTTCCTAGTAAGAGAGCTCCGGGTTTTAATATCACGTGCTCAATATGACCCCACTTGCATTTAACTTCCCATAAATTACAAAATTACCATCGCACAAAATTAATATAAATAGACTTATTTTATGAAAAAAAAAAAGAGAGATTTTTTTGCCCAAATTTCTCTCTCATCGTTATTTCCTCCGGTGAAATTCACCCAAAATTTTCAAAATCTCATTCCGGTGAATCTCTGCGTTCAGATCAGCATATTTTCGTTATATTTCATCATCTCCGCGGCATATCTCTGTAAAATCCATAGACTCTGGTGAGTTTTTTTCTTCAATTTTTTAATTTCTTCGTCGAATATTCGTAGATCTAAATTTTTTCAGTGCGACCTTGCTTGTTGTTATTTATTTCTCTAGCAACCGTTCGTCTTTCCTCCTATTTTTGTTATTTTCAATTTTTGAAGTAATTCGAACATTGTTTAAAGTATCTAAGGTTTTATTGACATAATATTTCTTCGCTTCTTGCGTAACTATGAATTTTAAGATTGCTGATGTTCATCCCCCTAATTGTTACAGCAGAAGAATGGGAATCAAACCTGTAAGAAATGAAGCGCCAGAGTCAAACGATCCTACAAGTGATGTTCATCCTATGATGATTAGTTGTTCATTTCAAATATATGATTATTCATCCTCTGAGAGTGTCTTGCTCATTTCATATGAATTATTGTTGATCCTGTGATGTTCATCACCTGAGAGTGTCTTGCTTATTTCATATAGATTATTGTTCATCTTGTGATGTTCATCCTCAGAGAATGTCTTGCTCATTTCGTATGGATTATTGTTCATCCTGTGATGTTCATCCTCTGAGAGTGTCTTGCTCAGCCTGTTAAATGCAATGTTCATCCTGTTTTATATGATGCTCATCCTGTTTGATACAATATTCATCCTGTATTTGCAGTTATTCTTTCCAGTCCATTATGAACAACAAATGGTTATAATTGTGACCTTCTGCCTGCTGCCTCAACAGGGGTAAAACTATTTCATTTGAAACCTTTATTATTGTTTTCAACATTTAGTTGGTCTCACCTTGTGTTTGTTCTAGTTTCTCTTTCTCTTTTCGACCATTTTAAACAGAGAGAAAAGATAGCCTGAGTGATCGCCTTAACGGATTGAAGATGAGATATCTAGCTGAGATCATGCAATCAAGAACCAACATCTCGTATCCAGAGCTTGAAGAAAAAATCAATGAATTTTATCTAGAAAATTTATAGGGCAAAAAGTCTAATGTGAAGCCTGCTGAATTTTTTTGACTTATCAGAATAGGAGTTTGTAGATATTTGACTAGGTAGTTATCGGAAAATGACAATGTGAGCCCTGCTGAAATGTTTTGAGATGTCCTCAATCACTTTCAAAGTTGAAAGTTCATAATTAATCACTGAAATTTTTTTTTTTGCAAATTGTGAACTGAAAGTTCATTTAAGATTTCATGTTATTCACTGCACAAGATACAATGTGCATCCTGTTTAACTCTAATGTTCATCTAAAAACTAGTCTTGTTTGTAAAAAAAAAATCCTGTGTGCATCCTATTAAACTTAATGCTCATCCTGTTGAACACAATGATCAATTTGAACTACAATGTTAGATCCTGGTCGATGCAGAAATAATATGTAATTTGTTGAAGTACAACTAGACAACCCTAAGCGCTAAACCCTAAATGCTAAACCCTAAACAACTAGGCCCTAACTGACAAGGAAATGCTTAAACCCCCACTAAACCCTAAACCCTAAACCCTAAACGCTAAACGAGCTAATATAATTTTTTTCAGTTGAAAGTTTTTAAAACCGATTAGGCTAGGGTCTCGTTGGTTTAAAAAAATTTAAAAGGCTAATCATTTTCCGGCACAAACTAGACCCTAACCTATAATCGAAATGCTTAAACCCTCTTAAACCCTAAACCCTAAACTGACATGGTGTTGAATTTAAAAAAAAAAAATTTTAGTTGAAATTTTTTTTAACTAAAAAAAATTTTTTGAAAAAAATTCAACACCATATCGGTTTAGGGTTTAGGGTTTAAGGGGGTTTAAGCATTTCAATTATAGGTTAGGGTCTAGTTTCTGCCGGGAAACGATTAACCTTTTAAATTTTTTTAGGGTTTAGGGTTTAGGTTAATCATTTCTCGGCAGAAACTAGACCCTAACTTATAATTGAAATGCTTAAACCTCCTAAATCCTAAACCCTAAACCTTCATGTCTAGCATCGGAAAATCAGCAGGGTAGATAAAAATACCAACTCTGATAACTATATCACGAAGGACTCCCTTAGCTTGGTGAGTTTATTAGCGATAACTACCATCTAAGTTTTCAGATAAGTGTTTGCATCTAACTCCAACACTCCAGTTTTTTGGACCACAACTTTGGGGTCTGTTTACTATATGAAATGATTGGTAGTTATGTTTTTCAACAGTTTTTTTGGCCTCCTCAACCATCCTCATCATAAAGGCTCCTCCAGATGCCGAGTCTAGAGAATCTCTTGATAACTGTGTCAACTATCAACCCATTGTAGAAGATTTCAAGCTGCAATTACTCTTTAATACCATACCGTGGACATTTTCTCAACATTTCCTTAAATTTCTCCCACGTTTCATATAGTCTCATTCCCATGTTGCTAGTAGGTCATAATTGCAATCCTAAAGTGGGCAGCTTTTGATGGTGCAAAACATTTAGCCAGGAATGCTTGCCTGAGCTCATTCCAGCTTGTAATGTAATTACTTAGGAGTGTGTTGAGCCATATCTGCACCTTGGCTTGCAGGGTAAAGGTAAATAGCTTCAATTTTAATTCATCACCAGATAATCCTTGTATTTTGAAAGTGCTACATAGCCTCAAAAATGTTTTGATGTGATATTTGGAGCTTTGCTGACTAATCCATGGAATAGGTAGGCTGCCTGCAACCATTAAATCATCTTGCTCTTAAGCTCAAAGTTGTTTGCTTCAACATCAGGGTAAGCCAGAGGAGATTCCACCTCTCCCCATGAGGAATAAAATAATCCTTAAGTAACCTTTGTTGTTGATTATGGTCTCCATTACCCTAGTTGTCTTGTTGTTCTTTCATCTCCTCAAATTCTAACTCTTGCTGTTGATGAAAAAAATGAGCTCTCTTCGTGATCGAGCCTTACAAACTGTGGCTTC